GTGTGTGTGTGTTTGCGCCGGGGAAGGGGGTGGGGTGTTGCATGATTACGTTTTACGTTCTAATAGGTATTTTCTGTCCTTTATGATTTGGATCAAGAATGTGTTAATTTTATGCCGCCATGCTGCGTCTTTCCAGCATGTGGGTGCCAAGAGAAGAGCAGCTCTTCTAAATGGCGTAAACTGTGTACTAAACGAAAGAAAAAATTGTGTTGCCGTTGAAATTACAAGGTCAACCTCGTGGAACGTCATTGTACATATTATTATATCGGTGCTTCTGTTGTTGAAGAAAAATAGTCGCACGTTTTTTGTGGGGTTTTTTAGGGAGATGGGATATTTCTTTTACTGTTACTGTTCTCGCCTTGTAAATGTGCCTGGTGGAGTGTGTGTGTTTGGGGTGGGGGGGGGGTGTGGCATTCCCGCCGTGTGAAGGGGAAAGCCGAAGATCTAAGAAAAAGGAGGGGGATGGGGCTGTTGCAGACTGCACGACTTCAGTTCTTGTATTTGCGTTCTTGGTTGGTCCTGGTGGAGATAAGTACTGTACAGTGCAAGCGTTCTCAATGTTCTGTCAGAATGTTCTTTGTCTGTCGATTGGGATAATGAGATCTTTGGATCATGTTTCCCCTTGTAGACACACGAGATGGGGGGATCTTTTCCGCTAAGATCCACATCACACCAGTCGGAAGTTTTTCTGATTACTGATATTTTTGTTTTAGTAAGCGCATTACGGCAGTCACGACACAATTAGGTCACAGATGTGCCTAAAATAGAGGTATCACAATAAGTAACATACACAAAAAAAAGAAAGAAAGAAAGAGGAGCGATAAGGAAAATGGTTGTTCGATAGGAAAGAAGGAGCAAACCGCACCAGAGCTCCCGTCAACCTCCCACTTATAATAGAGTATAGCACATCCAAAATGTCTCACCCAACATTGGAACCGTGTCCTTATGATAATATGATTTTGTCACTCACTTCCACACAATACTTCGTGCTGACAGTGCGATACTATAATTCTCATTCAGACTCCCACAGCCGTCCTCCCACACTCTTTTAGGCTTCAACATTCTACATGATGTATTGGTGTCTTTGTTATTGTCGCGGAGAAAAAGGGGAGGGGAGGGGTGGTGGTCTCTATGCAGCAAGCCAATGGACATGGGGAAAATTCAATTGCTTTGGCTACAGTCAATCGGATTTGGGATATTGAACAGATCTGTCCGTTGTGCGGGCGTGAGGTCTCTCTCTCTCTCTCTCTCTCTCTCTCTCTCTCTCTCTCTCTCTCTCTCTCTCTCTCTCTCTCTCTCTTTCGCTCCAATGATGGGATTGATGAGTCACACACACATGCACACACACACACACACACATACACACACACACACACATGCACACAGAGGGGAAAGAGGAAGGGAGGGCGAGTGAGTGGAGTACGTGTGTGTGTGTGCATATGTTTGTGTGTGCGTGCATGTGTGACTCATCAGTCCCATTATGCGAGGAATGTGTGCGTGCGTGCAGTTGATCCAGTGTGTTGAGTCTGTTCGAGGTACAGGGTCGAGGGACTGACCGCTTTCTCACACTTCTTTTCTTTAAGTGTGGGGAGGGATAAGATTGAATTGTTATTGGGAGGGACCAGCCGCATTCGTCGAGGCTCTATTCTGTCAAGAAAGCACAGGATGTGTGAATTAGGAATTATTTATTTATTTGTTTATTTATTACTTACTTTTTGGGGGTTGCTATGATTGTG